TTCTGCTCAAGCCTGGCTTACATACCAATTATAACATGGCCTAGATTAAAACTTTATAGCAAAGCTTTAAAGATCGAACTTGTTCAAGTCTCTAAAACATTCCCGAATACGGTACATTTATCGCTAACTATTTCTGATAATTTTATGTAAATTCAAAGATAAACGAGACTATTATAGTCATTCTATAGCCCTAAATCTCGTCTTGAAAAGTTAGAGAATGTAGAATTAGAAGGCTTAGAGAGTTTAGAATTAGAAGACTTAGAGAACTTAGGATTAGAAGACTTAAAGAACTTAGAATTAGAAGACTTAGAGAATTTAGAATTAGAAGACTTAGAGAACGTAGAATTAGAAAACTTAGAGAACTTAGGATTAGAAGACTTAGTGAACGTAGAACTAGAAGACTAACTTTTTCGCTACAAAGTTAGAGAACTTCAAACTTCCAGAAAAATAAACAATAAAAGTCCTTAAAAACGAGTTAACACTAAAAATAATCGTCATTTGTACAATCGGATCGTTGTCGTGATCATCATTTGTACAATCGGATTGTCATTTGTACAATCGGATCATCATTTGTACAACCGGATCGTCATTTGTACAATCGGATCGTCGTCGTGATCATCATTTGTACAATCGATCGTTGTCGTGATCGTCATTTGTACAATCGGATCGTCGTCGTGATCATCATTTGTACAATCAGATCGTTGTCGTGATCGTCATTTGTACAATCGGATCGTCATTTGCACATTTGTACAATCGGATTGTCGTGAGTGTGTTAAAACAAGTGCTAAAACAACTCTATCTCCAAAAATACTCATTTTCAAACAACTATAACTCTTTCTTCATTCAGCCATCTATTTTTAGTAACCACAAGGTTCGATTTTTCTTCAAAATTGTTTTATGAGTGCATGTCTGTACAAGATCTTTCGATTTTTGTTTGCTTTCACTTCTTTCCACTTCGCACATTTCGGCACGATCAAACAACTGACTTTTTCTGTCTTTTCTCACTTTTCTCTGTCTTTTCTCACTTTTTGAGTCAAATCAAGTGGAACACTTGGAAAGAGTTAAAGTTGGAAAGGAAAACTTGGAAAAACCTCATCTTTGAACCACTAAGCAATACCTCTAAACCTTCTGACCTGGAATTTACATAAAATTATCAGAAACAGTTAGCGATAAAAGTGCCGTCAAAGAGTTAAACTTGGAAAGAAAAACTTGACCAGAAACCAGAAAAGAAAAACTGGAAAAACCTCATCTTTGAACCTCTAAGCAATACCTTTAAAGTGTGCTTTGTGCTTAAAACCTACCCTTTCTAGTGCAATGATTTCACATAAAAGGGAATGCGCTAGAAAAGTGAGCTAGAAAAGTGCGCTAGAAAAGTGAGCTAGAAAAGTGCGCTGGAAAAGTGAGCTAGAAAAGTGCGCTAGAAAAGTGAGCTAGAAAGAGTGCGCTAGAAAGAGTGAGCTAGAAAGAGTGCGCTAGAAAGAGTGCGCTAGAAAAGTGCGCTAGAAAGACCTTTAAAGTGTGCTTTATGCTTAAAACCTACCCTTTCTAGTGCACTGATTTCACATAAAGGGGAATTAAGTGCGCTAGAAAGAGTGCGTAACTATTCAGCACAAAGAATAGAGACAAGAAACGGGATACGGTCATCTGTAAACGCACCGAATCTAGCACATAAAAGCTTGAGTCTGCTAGAAAGGTCTGCTTGAGTCTGCCAGAAAGGATATGTTTCTAAGCACAAAGTAATCAAAAATCATGGGAAAACCCGAGATTTTCTCTATTTTTACAAATCTAGATAAAAAGTTCATGTTTGTAAAAGTTCTTGTTCTTGTTCTTGCAGACTGAGAGCTCTCAAGTGTTCATAGACATTCAGGACAACACAGTTCACACCTCACTCAAAAAGCCTGCATCTTTTTCTGGAGGAAAACTTTGATGTTCTTGGGTCACACTCATCTTTGCTTCACCTTTAGAGAGCTATGGAATAGAGCTTTAAAAATCTGAACAGCAAGGGATCAACCTACCGATGTACTGTAACCAGATTAGTAGCCTCTACAGACCTGGGGTACTGTAGACTCGTTTGCTGTAGAGTCAGTGTACTGTAGCATCGGTTTACTGTGGCCCAGGTGCACTGTGACCCTGGCCGCGCATCGAGTACAAATGTTTTGCTAAACATCAAAAATCTAAAGCCTCGGAATTCTAGTGTGAAATCCAGATCAAAGAAAAAACGCGATTAAAATAAAATTAAGAGCTGTGTATGTCTAAAAAGTGTGGCGGTAAGGTATAAGGCAAAACGAGTACAAATGTTTTGCTGAAAAACAAAAATCTGAATCCTAAAACTTCTAGCGTGACATCCAGATCAAAGAAAAAACGCAATTAAAATAAAATTGCTCTTGTCAATTTTTCGGAATCATCGCAAACTCCCGGCGACCACGATTAGGCAAAAAGATTTTTAGGGAAAAGAAAAATCTAAAGCCTAAGAATTCTAGTGTGACATCCAGACTAAAGAAAAAACGCAAATTTAGATTAAATCGCTCTTATCAATTTTTCGGAATCATCTCGAGCTCTTGGCAGTCCATCATCGAGTACAGTTTTTTAATGAAAATCAAAAATCTGAATCCTTAAAATTCTAGCGTGACATCCAGATCAAAGAAAAAAAGCAATTAGAATAAAATGGCTCTTATCAATTTTTCGGAATCATCGCAAACTCCCGGCGACCACGATTAGGCAAAAAGATTTTAGGGAAAAGAAAAAATCTAAAGTCTAAGAATTCTAGTGTGACATCCAGATCAAAGAAAAAACACAATTAAAAGAAAAATGCTCTTGTCAATTTTTCGGAATCATCGCAAACTCCCGGTGATCATGATTAGGCAAAAAGATTCTAGGGAAAATCAAAAATCTGAATCCTACAAATTCTAGCGTGACATCCAGATCAAAGAAAAACGCAATTAGAATAAAATAGCTTTTGCCAATTTTTCGGAATCATCTCGGCAGTCCATCATCGAGTACAGTTTTTTGATGAAAATCAAAAATCTGAATCCTTAAAATTCTAGCGTGACATCCAGATTAAAGAAAAAACGCAAATTTAGATTAAATCGCTCTTATCAATTTTTCGGAATCATCTCGAGCTCTTGGCAGTCCATCATCGAGTACAGTTTTTTAATGAAAATCAAAAATCTGAATCCTTAAAATTCTAGCGTGACATCCAGATCAAAGAAAAAAAGCAATTAGAATAAAATGGCTCTTATCAATTTTTCGGAATCATCGCAAACTCCCGGCGACCACGATTAGGCAAAAAGATTTTAGGGAAAAGGAAAAATCTAAAGTCTAAGAATTCTAGTGTAACATCCAGATCAAAGAAAAAACACAATTAAAAGAAAAAATGCTCTTGCAATTTTTCGGAATCATCGCAAACTCCCGGTGATGCACGATTTGGCAAAAAGATTCTAAGGAAAAACAAAAATCTGAATCCACAAATTCTAGCGTGACTTCCAGATCAAAGAAAAAACGCAATTAGAATAAAATAGCTTTTGCCAATTTTTCGGAATCATCGCGAACTCTCGGCAGTCCATCATCAAGTACAGTTTTTTGATGAAAATCAAAAATCTGAATCCTTAAAATTCTAGCGTGACATCCAGATTAAAGAAAAAACGCAAATTTAGATTAAATCGCTCTTATCAATTTTTCGGAATCATCTCGAGCTCTTGGCAGTCCATCATCGAGTACAGTTTTTTAATGAAAATCAAAAATCTGAATCCTTAAAATTCTAGCGTGACATCCAGATCAAAGAAAAAAAGCAATTAGAATAAAATGGCTCTTATCAATTTTTCGGAATCATCGCAAACTCCCGGCGACCACGATTAGGCAAAAAGATTTTAGGGAAAAGAAAAAATCTAAAGTCTAAGAATTCTAGTGTAACATCCAGATCAAAGAAAAAACACAATTAAAAGAAAAATGCTCTTGTCAATTTTTCGGAATCATCGCAAACTCCCGGTGATCACGATTAGGCAAAAAGATTCTAGGGAAAATCAAAAATCTGAATCCTACAAATTCTAGCGTGACTTCCAGATCAAAGAAAAAACGCAATTAGAATAAAATAGCTTTTGCCAATTTTTCGGAATCATCGCGAACTCTCGGCAGTCCATCATCAAGTACAGTTTTTTGATGAAAATCAAAAATCTGAATCCTTAAAATTCTAGCGTGACATCCAGATCAAAGAAAAAACGCAATTAGAATAAAATCCTATCAATTCTCTTGGATGTTCTAGGGTCACATCCATCTTTGCTTCACCTTTAGAAAGCTATGGAATAGATCTTTGAATATTAAAACAGGAAGGGATGGGCTGGGCGTACTGTAGTCAGGCTTAGGGTAAGGGTAAACTCCTGTAGCCAGGAATGTACTGTAACCGCATACTGTAACCGTATACTGTAACGGTTTACTGTAATCGTTTACTCTAACTTTGCTCCCCTTTCATTATACTGTAGCTCAAGTGTACTGATGTACAGTAAACCCAGGTTACTGTAGGCTCTGTAGGATATACTGTAAAGGCAGTCTACTGTAGCCTTACCAGCCAGTGTAGCTCCAGCCGGCATACCGTAGCCTGGTGGACTGTAGTTCGGGATACTGTAACCCGGTATACTGTAGCCCGGCTTGCTATAGCCAATTCTGCCGGTTTACTGTTGATCTGTAGTCTGGATTGCTATACCCAGTTGTGCTTATTGTAGGCTTACTGTAGGTTGACTGTAGATCTGGGGTACTGTAGACGATTAAAATTCGACGAAAATCCCTTTAATATGAAAGATTTATGTACAAAGAGACAAATAAAAAACAAAATAGTGATAAAAGGCGAGAAAGTGATCGAAAAATTGAAGAGTTTTTGAAAAAAACTTAAAACAGGACACGTAATTGTTGAATAAAAGTACCTCAATTAGCCATCAATTAGCTGAATATCATTTATTTTTGAAAAATTGTAGTTTTCATTAAGTAGAGGAAGAAATAAGTCAATTTTATCCGTTGCACGAGCGTCGAGCTTGGCTTTTGATCGTCTGATCTTGGCACTGAAAGAAGGAGAGTTTAAAAAGACAGAAAATCGATCGTAACCCTACCGTACTCTTGAGAAAAGCTACCGTAATCCGAGCTATCGTAATCCCAGAGATAGAAAAGTTACCGTAATCCGAGCTACCGTAACTCTAGAGATAGAAAAGCTACCGTAATCCCAGCTATCGTAATCCTAGAGATAGAAAGGCTACCGTAATTCCAGCTACCGTAATCCTAGCCATCGTAATTCCAGCTACCGTAATTCCAGAGGTAGAGAGGCTACCGTAATCCCAGAGGTAGAGAGGCTACCGTAATCCCAGAGGTAGAGAAGCTACCGTAATTCCAGCTACCGTAATCCCAGAGGTAGAGAAGCTATTGTAATCCCAGTTATCGTAATCCTAGAGATAGAAAGGCTACCGTAATGCCAGCTATCGTAATCCCAGAGGTAGAAAAGTTACCGTAATCCCAGCTACCGTAAGCCTAGAGATAGAAAGGCTACTGTAATCCCAGAGGTAGAGAGGCTACCGTAATCCCAGAGGTAGAGAAGCTACCGTAATCCCAGCCATCGTAATCCCAGAAGTAGAGAGGCTACCGTAATCCCAGAAGTAGAGAAGCTACCGTAATCCCAGCTATCGTAACCCTAGAGATAGAAAAGCTACCGTAAACCCAGTTGCCATAATTCTAGACTTGTTTCGAGAGATATTAAATCTCTTTATGTCAATCGTTACGAATCACGATTGGTTTTCCTAAGCCAAACTCATCAATTGGCTTCAAACACTCGGATTACGGTAAATTTTGGGTAAATTCTTTTAGAATAAGCAATAAATCTATGCTAATTAGCAATTAGCAATTGACTAAGCAACTAACTTTTGCAATTGATGAGGCGTAGTAACACGTTCGACAAAGCGCTTGATAGAGATCGGCTCCACCGATCACTTCAACCTAAAGTTAGGACTGAATAGGTTTAAGATAGAATTGACTAATCAAAAACAGGATTAAAGCTTAAACTTGAAGCTTAATCTTGTCCTAACTTGTCCCAATCAATGCCTAAGCTTTCGAAATCACCTGTTTCTCGTTTGTGTTCCTGAAAGTATAAGCGGCGTCGGTACCACAGTGCATACAAACAGCTGAGAGGCTCTTGATATCATTCGCGTATGAGAGAAGCTTTGAAACCTCGGGAAACGGCTGAAACAAGGATTTAAGCTATCAGATTGAAGGATTAAAGCTATTATTAGCTACCTGAGCTATCAGAGCTAGCAGATTAAACCAAAGAATCAGACTAGCTAGCAGATCAAACTCAAGAGCTCAAATTCAACCAAATCTAGCTCAGAATTAGGCTAAATTTAGCCAACTTGGCTGGCCTGGAGCCAGCATCCGCTCAGAAACTAGATTTGACTAGATGCAAGCCAAAGATCAAGTCAAATCCTGGCTTTTCAACAGTTTAGGATATGATAAGCTAATAGGTTTAGCTGTTCAGACCGGAGTAGGTAGTTGAACCAGGTCCAGTCAGAAAACAGACAATCTGACATGATTTAGCTTGGTTGGCCTGGTTTAGCTGGAAACTCTGATCTAGTCTGATCTGGTAAGATGTTTTACAGGATTCCAAAGGCTTTCAAAGGCTTCCAAAGGCTTCTAAAGGAGTCTATAAGATTCTAGAGGCTTCTAAAGGATTCTAAAGGATTCTAAAGGATTCCAAAGGATTCTAAAGGATTCTAAAGGCTTCTAAAGGCTTCTAAAGGCTTCTAAAGGCTTCTAAAGGCTTCTAAAGGCTTCTAAAGGCTTCTAAAGGCTTCTAAAGGAGTCTATAAGATTCTAGAGGCTTCTAAAGGATTCTAAAGGATTCTAAAGGATTCCAAAGGATTCTAAAGGATTCTAAAGGCTTCTAAAGGCTTCTAAAGGCTTCTAAAGGCTTCTAAAGGCTTCTAAAGGAGTCTATAAGATTCTAGAGGCTTCTAAAGGATTCTAAAGGATTCTAAAGGATTCCAAAGGATTCTAAAGGATTCTAAAGGTTTCTAAAGGCTTCTGAAGGCTTCCAAAGGATTCTAAAGGATTCCAAAGGATTCTAAAGGATTCTAAAGGATTCTAAAGGTTTCTAAAGGCTTCTGAAGGCTTCCAAAGGATTCTAAAGGATTCCAAAGGATTCTAAAGGATTCTAAAGGATTCTAAAGGTTTCTAAAGGCTTCTGAAGGCTTCCAAAGGATTCTAAAGGATTCCAAAGGATTCTAAAGGATTCTAAAGGTTTCTAAAGGCTTCTGAAGGCTTCCAAAGGATTCTAAAGGATTCCAAAGGATTCTAAAGGATTCTAAAGGATTCTAAAGGTTTCTAAAGGCTTCTGAAGGCTTCCAAAGGATTCTAAAGGATTCCAAAGGATTCCTAAAGGATTCTAAAGGTTTCTAAAGGCTTCTGAAGGCTTCCAAAGGATTCTAAAGGATTCCAAAGGATTCTAAAGGATTCTAAAGGATTCTAAAGGTTTCTAAAGGCTTCTGAAGGCTTCCAAAGGATTCTAAAGGATTCCAAAGGATTCTAAAGGATTCTAAAGGTTTCTAAAGGCTTCTGAAGGCTTCCAAAGGATTCTAAAGGATTCCAAAGGATTCTAAAGGATTCTAAAGGTTTCTAAAGGCTTCTGAAGGCTTCCAAAGGATTCTAAAGGATTCCAAAGGATTCTAAAGGATTCTAAAGGATTCTAAAGGTTTCTAAAGGCTTCTGAAGGCTTCCAAAGGATTCTAAAGGATTCCAAAGGATTCTAAAGGATTCTAAAGGCTTCTAAAGGATTCTAAAGGTTTCTAAAGGATTCTAAAGGATTCTAAAGGCTTTCAAAGGTTTCCAAAGGTTTCTAAAGGCTTCCAAAGGCTTCTAAAGGCTTCTAAACTCTTGCTTTCACTCACCCTTCGTCGAAAATCCCCATTCAAAGCGGCAACGATGACGATTTTCCCGTCAGCTGCCAGTTGTTCACAAGTAGCCGAGAGATCGTCGAACTGAAAAGAAGAATGATCAGATGATCTCAAAATAGAAAATATTAAGAGCAGATTTATTAAATATTTTAAAATAACCAATATTCAATCCAATATCCAATTAAACAAGCGATAGACTAGTTTCCGAATTTATCTTAAAGTCAGATCAATTAAGCCCGACTTTCAATTGTTAGCATCAATAAAATGAATAAAGCCTATCGATTCACCGACCTCGAAAACCCTAGGGTACAGATTTAACCAAATATCTTCTTTTAAGTCTCCAAAGCGAGAGAGAAATCCTGGAATAAGCGTGCTTGGTGCGCGCACACAATCGCTGGTCATCTGGCGCACCCTCTTGGTAGATAGGTGTTCTATTTGGAGTCAGTTAACGATGGAAAAGTAGCAGATCAAGTTGGTCAAGCTGGTCAAGCTGGCCGCGAACCGAGAGATAAGGATGAGAGATAACGCCTTTTGAGGCATGTAAGAAGCTCGGCGATCAGATGGCCTGGTGGTGTAGTGGCTAGTGCGCTGGTCTGGAAATCGAGCGACGCTGGTTCGAGTCCGCTCGTCGGCCGAACTTTTGCTTTTATTGCTAAATGCTGATGCTGATGCTGATGCTGATGCTGATGCTGATGCTGATGCTGATGCTGATGCTGATGCTGATGCTGATGCTGATGCTGATGCTGATGCTGATGCTGATGCTGATGCTGATGCTGATGCTGATGCTGATGCTGATGCTGATGCTGATGCTGATGCTGATGCTGATGCTGATGCTGATGCTGATGCTGATGCTGATGCTGATGCTGATGCTGATGCTGATGCTGATGCTGATGCTGATGCCAATCAATGCCAATCAATGCCAATCAATTCCAATGCCAATCAATTCCAATGCCAAGCTTTTCTCTTTAGCGTTTTCTACCAAATTACAAATTTTGCTTTCTTTCTGCATCTTGTTAAGCCAGCCAGTTAAGCCAGCCAGTTAAGCCAGCCAGTTAAGCTAGCTTGTTAAGCCAGCCAGTTAAGCCAGCCAGTTAAGCTAGCTTAGATAAACAAAATTGAAACTTCGTTAAGCTTATCGACAAATTAAAACGGAGAAAACCATACAAATTGCCCCTCATCAATCGCCACCACTTCGATTTCCTCATCAAAAAGCGTTTCCTCACATCAGCTAATCGATGAGCGATCACCGTGCATCCGCGAGCTTTTTGTCTAAAGATTTACATGAAAATGAGATTTTTAAATTAAAAAAACAGAATACTTGAACTTGAACTTGGAAAAAAAAATGAAAATTAAATAAAATTCGATTCTTTTACATCATTTAGAGCATCATTACATCATTTTAAAAGCTAAAAATAAACAAAAATCAGATTTCCTAGCTCTATTTTACTTCTTAGAGTCCAATTCTGCATATCTTTAACCTCTAAGAAGATTTCCTGGCTCTATTTTACTTCTTAGAGTCCAATTCTGCATATCTTTAACTTCTTAGAAGATTTCCTAGCTCTATTTTACTTCTTAGAGTCCAATTCTGCATATCTCTAACTTCTAAGAAGATTTCCTAGCTCTATTTTACTTCTTAGAGTCCAATTCTGCATACCTTTAACCTTTAAGAAGATTTCCTAGCTCTATTTTACTTCTTAGAGTCCAATTCTGCATATCTTTAACCTCTAAGAAGATTTCCTGGCTCTATTTTACTTCTTAGAGTCCAATTCTGCATATCTTTAACTTCTTAGAAGTTAAATTACACATAATTGAATTCTTTTTTAATGTTTAGACATGTTTAGAACAAAATGAACAAACAAATGTTTAGATTTAAGATTGAAATTACTCTTAGCACTTGAAGAAGATCGATTTCCTTTGCCTTTTTGTAAATTATGACTTTGATGACTTTTCAAACTCACTGCTGATGAGTGGTCACAAATTCGGCATCATAGCGCACATCTCCGTCATATTTCACCAAAACGCAGCTCTTCTTGGCGATTTGGTAGCGATCGTGGATTCGTATGAGTTCCGTGCTAAAGAAAGAATCATTTTGAGACAGGAATGGAGTTGAAAGTGAAGGATTTGATAAGAAAGCACAGTGGATTGAATCCTTGACCTTTTGCTTGGCAATTGCTCTAACCATTGAGCTTTTCGGCACCTGAGCACCGGCAGAGAAAGAGGGAAAGACAAGGGAAAGAAAGAAAGGAAGAAGGGAAGGAAGAAAGGATGAAAGAAAGGAAGGAAGAAGGGAAGGAAGAAAGGATGAAAGAAGGGAAGAAAGAAAGGATGAAAGAAAGAAGAATAACTCACGTTTTCCCGCTGAACATCGGCCCGAGAATGCACACGATGTAGCCTTGGTTGTACATGTGACACATCGGTTGCTCCGTGTAGGGACGCATTTTCGAAGAAAATCGAATTACAACTGAATTTTCAATCTCTAGATAAGAAAAAGGACATAAGAAGACAGAATTGAGAACTTTTGCAAACTTTCCCGAACTTGGGAGCCACTCTGAAGCGTACCGCGGTTACCGTAACCCTACCGTAACCCTTTGGTAACCCTACCGTAACCCTACCGTAACCCTACCGTAACCCTAGCGTAACTCTAGCGTAACCCTACACTATCTCTTCAACCTAAAGCTACTTATCATAGCCATAATCTGTATAGTTTTCTATATCACCTCTTGCTTTCAGTTAGCATGTTACGTAGCCCTTAAGTAGCCATTACGTAGCCCTTATGTAACCATTACGTAGCCATTACGTAGCCCTTACGTAGCCCTTACGTAGCCATTACGTAGCCATTACGTAGCCATTACGTAGCCATTACGTAGCCCTTACGTAGCCCTTATGTAACCATTACGTAGCCATTACGTAGCCCTTATGTAACCATTACGTAGCCCTTACGTAGCCCTTATGTAACCATTACGTAGCCATTACGTAGCCCTTATGTAACCATTACGTAGCCATTACGTAGCCCTTACGTAGCCATTACGTAGCCATTACGTAGCCCTTACGTAGCCACAGCCATTATCGTAGTAACTGCTTAAAAGCGAGTAAATGAGTTAAAGATTACGGTAGCTTTAGTCAAGCTTTAGTGCCACTCAATCGGCGAGTTTGTAAGTGAAAAACAAGATATAGATTGAAGCTTTAAAACTGGAAATAGAGCCTTGAATTCAGCTTTATCCTTTCGTACTTTGTGCTCACTTTTAAACATGTAAACACATCCTTTCTGGTGCACTTAAGTCTTCAGTTTTCTTGTGGCAGTCTGCTACTAAGAAAATGAGGAAATCAGTGCGCTAGAAAGGCTGTATTTACGAGCACAAAGTACACTGAACGAGTAACAAAAGAAATAGAACTAAAGTAGAACGATAAAAGTTTAAAGAATTATGAATTAAAGTCTAAAAACATTTGAAGCTCATCGCTGCAACCACAAAAACACCGGACACACCCCAATCTTGCCTGTCTTGCCTGTCTTGCTTGTCTGGCAGATCAAAAGCTTCCAAAAGTTTCAAAAACCTATTCAACCAGCCATTTTGATGACATTAGAAAAACTGATATCGAAAGAAGACATGTGGTTGAGGGATGGTGGGAGGAGATGGCTGGAAGATCTCAATACAATCCTATAGTCACGAAAAAACGAAATCCAGGCTGATTGGGAATGGAAAAAAAGAAAAATGGCTGTGAGCGGGATCGAACTACCGTTGTTTTGACTTGTAGCCAAACTCACTAACCACTAGGCCACAAGATTTTTGTGAGCTTTTTAAGTTCTGAGGAATCCATTATTCTTCGTGACCTCCAGATCGAACATTCCATCAAAAAGAAATGGTTGTGAACGGGATTGAACTACCGTTGTTTGACTCGTAGCCAAACTCACTAACCACTAGGCCAAATTTTTGTCAGCTTTTTAGGTTCTGAGGAATCTATTATTCTTCGTGACCTCCAGATCGAACATTCCATCAAAAAGAAATGGTTGTGAACGGCATTGAACTACCGTTGTTTGACTCGTAGCCAAACTCGCTAGCCACAGGCCAGATTTTGTGAGTTTTTTAAGTTCTGAGAAATCCATTATTCTTCGTGACCTCCAGATCGAACATTCCATCAAAAAGAAATGGTTGTGAACGGCATTGAACTACCGTTGTTTGACTCGTAGCCAAACTCGCTAGCCACTAGGCCAGATTTTTGTGAGTTTTTAAGTTCTGAGAAATCCATTATTCTTCGTGACCCCAGATCGAACATTCCATCAAAAAGAAATGGTTGTGAACGGCATTGAACTACCGTTGTTTGACTCGTAGCCAAACTCGCTAGCCACTAGGCCAGATTTTTGTGAGTTTTTTAAGTTCTGAGAAATCCATTATTCTTCGTGACCTCCAGATCGAACATTCCATCAAAAAGAAATGGTTGTGAACGGCATTGAACTACCGTTGTTTGACTCGTAGCCAAACTCGCTAGCCACTAGGCCAGATTTTTGTGAGTTTTTTAAGTTCTGAGAAATCCATTATTCTTCGTGACCTCCAGATCGAACATTCCATCAAAAAGAAATGGCTGTGAACGGGATTGAACTACCGTTGTTTGACTCGTAGCCAAACTCGCTAACCACTAGGCCAAATTTTAGTGAGCTTTTTAAGTTCTGAGGAATCCATTATTCTTCGTGACCTCCAGATCGAACATTCCATCAACAATGTTTTGATATTTACAAGGAATCGGGCTAGTTTTTGATCTGATGAGGATTTGATGGGGAGAAAGAAGCTGGAAGAAAGAAATCCAATCCTATAGCTATTAAAAACGAAAACCAGGCTACTTCGTCTCAATTTACAATACTTTTTCTATCTATCGTATCTAGGTATTATCAGGAAAACTCAGTATCAATTTGAAATCATTTCATCAAAGAGAAAGGAGGGAGAGAAAGAAAGAGAGAGAGAGAGAGAGTAGGAAGAACCTCTCCTTTTCCCTTTCCCCTAGGAAGAACCTCTCCTTTTCCCTTTCCACTCCAAGAAAAACTCAAAACCGATAGCATCTACTCAAAATTGAAAGAAACCAGGTCAAGCTTTCTTGTTTTTTTTGGCGTTCAAACTCTTGAAAACAGATGTTTTAGGAATGAGAGATCGGATCAAAATACATAATTTGATTCTTATCAAGACCAAGATCAAGATCAAGACCAAGATCAAGACAACTAGGGTAAAAAAAGAATACTAATGAGTCAATCTATTTCTTCATAAATGTCAAATCAATCTATTTCTATTTATTTAAATCTTATTATATTTAAATGTAATGCTTTTAAGAATTTAATTAATTTAATTGTGTTTTTAAACACCTTGAAATACTTTTTTGATCTTTTTTGATCTTTTTTGATCATTTAACTCAAAAAAAGAGAACATAGAGGAGACTGGAACTCAGGCAAAAGAAAACTCGTGAACGCTCGCACTCAGCTCAGGCTCTCACGGCGCTATTTGATTTCAAATCATTGAGTAAAACAACCAGACTTCTTACAGCTCCGAAAAACCGTCCTAAAATTTTATGTTATCCAAAAAATCCTAAATCTAAAATGATAGATATCATTTGAACTTCATTTGAAAACTAAAAGCCGATCCGGAAACTTCATTCAAGGCATACACTAGAAGTACTCTAGCATACAGTAGAAGTGCTAGCATCTACTAGAAGTACTAGAAGTGCTCTAGCATCCCCTAGAAGTACTCTAGCATACACTAGAAGTGCTCTAGCATATACTAGAAGTACTAGAAGTGCTCTAGCATCCACTAGAAGTACTCTAGCATACACTAGAAGTACTAGAAGTGCTCTAGCATATACTAGAAGTACTAGAAGTGCTCTAGCATCCACTAGAAGTACTAGAAGTGCTCTAGCATCCACTAGAAGTACTCTAGCATACACTAGAAGGGCTCTAGCATATACTAGAAGTACTAGAAGTGCTCTAGCATCCACTAGAAGTACTAGAAGTGCTCTAGCATCCACTAGAAGTACTCTAGCATACACTAGAAGTGCTCTAGCATCCACTAGAAGTACTAGAAGTGCTCTAGCATCCACTAGAAGTACTCTAGCATACACTAGAAGTGCTCTAGCATCCACTAGAAGTACTAGAAGTCCTCTAGCATCTACTAGAAGTCCACTAGAAGTGCATCAACAAGGCAATCTTGTCCTGATGCTTTTTCCTAGGGAAGCAGCCATTTATGGTTATCGATTTGCTAAGATTTAATGCAAAATGAAGTATGATTGTCACTTTGAACAAATCGAGTGAAAACCGAAAACTTTCAAAGGTACACGTATCAAAAAGCAAAAGGAAATAAGGAAAAAGAAATGAGTGAATGATTTGGATGAGAAATTCACTCGTTCTAGGGAAACGGCGAGAAAATCGAAACTCCGAAGCCTCTCTCTCTCTCTCTGTGGTACAGTGACGAGCGCATGGCTTTGCCATTTCGTCTCCCCAATCCAATACACATTTTGCATTTAAAGAGCTAATGCTTTCGTTTAAAGGGAGGTTTAGAAGAGAGGTTTAGAAGGAGGTTTAGATTTTAAAGGGAGGTTTAGAAGGAGGTTTAGAAGCAGGTTTAGATTTTAAAGGGAGGTTTAGAAGGAGGTTTAGAAGGAGGTTTAGATTTTAAAGGGAGGTTTAGATTGATTTAAACAGGTTTAGATTGATTTAAACATGTTTGAATGTATTTAAACATTGATTAGATCCAGTAATCGGCTACAGGTGGCAATCGTTAGAGTATAGTAATTCTTGCAGTATAGTAACCTGCAAAATCCTCACAGTACAGTAATCCTTACAGTAATCCTTGCAGTACAGTAATCCTTGCAGTACAGTAATCCTTACGGTAATCCTTGCAGTACAGTAATCCTTGCAGTACAGTAATCCTTGCAGTACAGTAATCCTTACGGTAATCCTTGCAGTACAGTAATCCTTGCAGTACAGTAATCCTTGCAGTACAGTAATCCTTGCAGTACAGTAATCCTTACGGTAATCCTTGCGGTACAGTAATCCTTACGGTAATCCTGCGTACAGTAATCCTTACGGTAATCCTTGCAGTACAGTAATCCTTACGGTAATCCTTGCAGTACAGTAATCCTTACGGTAATCCTTGCAGTACAGTAATCCTTACGGTAATCCTTACAGTAATCCTTACGGTAATCCTTACTGTACAGTAATCCTTAGAGTAATCCTTACAGTAATCCTTATAGTAATCCTTACTGTACATTAACCCTTACAGTAATCCCTACAGTAATCCCTACAGTAATCCCTACAGTAATCCCTACAGTAATCCCTACAGTAATCCCTACAGTAATCCCTACAGTAATCCCTACAGTAATCCCTACAGTAATCCCTACAGTAATCCCTACAGTAATCCCTACAGTAATCCCTACAGTAATCCCTACAGTAATCCCTACAGTA